TAAAATCCCACTTTTACAGCTTTATCTGAGAGTTTATCCTTAATCAGAATAAATCTTCATTCTGGACTTCTGAAGAATTAATTTATTCCTTTACGTCACAGTTTCACAATATTTAATGTCTTTCCTTCCACAAACTGTTCTTCCAAAAAATTGGTCATCGGGCAAAAGTCTCCTCCTGTGCCTCAGAAACACATCTGGGACTAATGACTTGATGTCTGCTAAAATTCTGTTCCTTTTAATAGCGATTTAAAGGAAGTTATCCAGAATTTGCTATCTAGATTCACCCAGATGTTGGCGAAATCAATTCCATTTAAAGATGAACCTAGAACTTACCATAGAGAAACATGCCTCATATTGCCCACTGACCTTAACATTTGCCTTTTTCAGTAAAAGAAACCATGTTCAAACAGTGGATGTGGCTCTTCATGAGACATGCCACATTATCACAGGATGTCTACACCCTACACCACTGGAGAAATTATACTGTTCAACTGGTATTGCACCACCTGACATCCGCTAGGAAGTAACAGCCAGTAATGAAAGGACCAAGGTATTGCCATCTCTGGCCCATACTCTGGATATCAGCCAGCATGCCAACACCTTAAATCAAGCAATAGGTTTCTAAGATCTACAGAGATTTTTTGCAAGAACACCTCAGCAAGCAAGAGTACAAAAGTTGCAGGTTACAACATGGAATCTCAATCCTTGGCTGAGACCAGATGAGAAACTTCCCCCCTGGCACACAGAAGACTGGGCAACTTGGAAGACGTTGAACAGACTGCACTCTGGTACCACGAGATGGAGAGCCAACCTTAAGAAATGGGGCTACAAAGTGGAGTCCATGACCTGTGAGTGTAGAGAAGATCAAACCTCAGACCACCTACTACATGCACAATGGAAGACCTTCTCACAGCAACACCAGAGGCACTCCAAGTGGCCGGCTTCTGGCAAAGGAAATTTAGTATATTGCCAAGTTTATAACTTTGTTTGTGGTTTTTCTATACAGTATAATTGTATTCTCAATTCGCTTCTAACACAATAAATAAATAAATAGTAAAAAAAACATATTCAAAATGGAAACAAAAGGGATAATTAGTTACCAAATATTAATATTTGGATTAGCAGGTCATCCATAGAAGAAATGGGATCCCATTGAGAGGGTGAAGGAAAGTATCTCATATAAATAGTATTTTTAATTATTTAAAAATATTTTAAAGCTTACATAAATAATGCATTTAAAGAAAGACACTTTCTCAAAGTGGAAGGTTCACTGTAGTACTTGAATAAGCATTTGTCATGCCTAAAACAATGCATTCAAAATACTACACAAGCTAATTTTCTTCAACAATACTTTGTTATGGTGATGTTTACATTTTTTTAATCAAGCATCACCATGTTATATGTTTATTAAACTGTACTGGTTTTCTCTCTCTTTTCTGTACACCTCTGCTGAAGTATTTCTGAGGGCAGTCTTTCTTCTGGATGACTATCAGACTCATCCAAACCTCTAAAGCCCTATATGTATTCTTCAGTCACAGAATTATGGATGACATTAGGTTCTTCCCATCATTATTTACTACAATCTTAAATTGAAGCCAAATTTTAAGATTATAGTAATGTATGTCTATCTTCTTAAAAGTTTGGTAAAAAAAGTCACATATCCTTCTTGGCAGTATTTCATATTAAAAGTATTGAAATATGGAAATTTACATACAGACGAACTGTATGTAATCTCTCTGCTGCAAGATGGCTAATGCAGAGAAAATGGTAAATAGTGGTATGGTGTTCTGGAGACACTTTAGTGGTTGCGCAGTTAAGACTGTCACATCAAGCAGAGTGTGAATCCCTTATTTAAAACATAAAGATTCAAGGCGGCCAAAGCAAAATGGGAGCATTTCCATGAACTGTGATTTTCAAAGATACTTTTTACACTCAACAAGTGAGTTCCACAGAAAAGAAAAGAAATAGTAATGTACACCATTTCCTATAAAATACTACCACTTGTAATGTGAAAAATCACAGAAGATTCAGCAAATATAACTTTAAACTCACAGAGGAATCGGTAACAGTATCACATTTTATTTTATTTCATGTATTTGCAAAATTACTCAAGCAAGAAATACCTGTGGGGAAAAGTATCTCAGTTTTAGAAGATGATTTTTGTTTTAATTTATGAAGTACACATGAAATTGAGACACATGGGAAGGGGGGGGGGGTACCTGAATTTAATGTACTCTTTTTTTGTTTTACCTTTTATACACAAAATAGAGAGACATTTTGCCCCACAGACATTTCATATTTGAACACTTTTACAAAAACATACTGTAAGGAAGCGTAATCCCACCTAAATGGGATTACCAAAATTAAATAAATATGTATGTTAATCCACCTAATTTCAACCTAAATTATAAGGAAGTCCCAAAATTGCTTGATTACACTGCCACCATTATATATATATATAGAGACGTTGGAATTGAAGTCTCTATTATCCCTATCTGCGTTGTGAGGCAACTTTGGTAGAGTGGATTGCACCAAATGTAAAATCAATGGAGGAGGCAGATTTATAACACAGAGAGAACAAGTTTATTGTTAACAGAGCGTAATTGTTGCAATACTGAGATGTTGAACTTGGCACAAGCTTGATGGTTACAATATGGCTTGGTAGAGATACATTCAGGCTTCTGATGTTACAATCCTTTAAACTCCTTCTTCAGTGAAGTACTTTATTATTTCAGTGTTCCCTGTTGTGAATATTCACTCTGTTTGTCCTATACCGGATCAAACCACCGATCTCCAGTCTTTCACTACTGGGATCCCTAAAACCCCCTTTGTTAGATTCTTTTTAACACAAGCAATCTAACAAGGTTTCACCTTCAGCTCCCTTGCTGAAGAAATATTCACAAATGCTAAGAACTAACTGAATCTATACTGCTTCACCACACAGAGCCCTAACTGACTCCGCTCCTCTTCTCAGGGTCTCATCCTCCTGACTACCATTAACTGTTACTTTCAAACCTTTTTCTCCTTAAGCTCCGCCCACCTTCTCCTCTGCCTTGTCACCATGGCAACCTATCTCTCACAGCTAGGCCATGGCCACGCATGTAAAACATAAATACAGTTTAAACACAGTACAATAAACCCTTTATAATAAACACTTCTCTACACATACCAAAACATAAAGGGGGGGGGGGGAGAGATTACAGCTTCCAGAACCTGTTCCAGTTACTGTCCTAGTTGGGAGGGTTGAAAATTGGTTTCTGAAATGAAGCTTTCCCATAGTCTGCGAAAAAGTGTAGTATTTCTAATTAACCACCTTTACTGGGCAATAGGTCAGTGACAATGCACATCTTTTGTACATGAAGACTCAGTATTTGATATATCTTGGTAGAACAACGCAGTATCAATACGAAACTGCTAAAAAAAATCCCAAGGTCATTCAATCTAGGCAACCTTTTTCATGTCAGAAGCAACTTGAGAAACTGCAAGTTGCTGTGAGAGAATTGGCCATCTGCAAGGACATTACCCGTGGGATGCCTGGATGTTTTACCATCCTATGGGAGGCTTCTTTCATGTTCCCACATGGAAAGCTGGAGCTGACAGGCGGAAGCTCACTCGCTCCCAAGATTCGAACCATTGACCTTTCAGTCAGCAATCCTGCCGGCACAAGGGTTTAACCCACTGTGACATCAGGGGCTCCAATGTAGACAACAATTGAGTTAAATAAACTATTTTGAACAAGGCTAAGTACTCTTCCCAGTACATGGTGCCTCGCTTTGCTCTTAGGGCTTTGGATATTCCTATATGGGTTGTTTACATATTTATTCATAATTGAATAAATGTCATGTCCATATTCCCTATTCCAAAAAGCCAGTTCATTAGATTCTGAAAAAGCCTACACTTTATCACTCTGTTGCAGTTTCTTCAGCGAGTAATTGCAAGTATCATACTATAAGGTGCTTCTATTAGTTAAAAACTGTTCTCTCAAGGATGGATTGAGATCTTCTATTTGTAAGAAAGCCTGATGGTTCTCAATTCTTTGGTCTTCCACCTGACTTGAACTTCAACTCCCAGAGCTTCAACCCAGAGCTTCATCCATCTTGGTTGATGGTCAAGAGTTCTGGAAAGTCTAAATAAACGAAGCGGGGAACTACTAATCACCCAACAGATTATTTAACTAGAAAGAACAGTTTTATTGTGTCTTAGTGTATTGTTTATTGGTTCTTGTTTATATCGCTTTAATTGTTTTAATTTGCTTTAGGTTTTGTATTGTTATATTGTGTGTTGAGGCCTTGGCCTTTGTAAGCTGCATCGAGTCCTTCGGGAGATGCTAGTGGGGTACAAATAAAGTTTAATAATAATAATAATAATAATAATAATAATAATAATAATAATAAAGCAATAAGGTGATAAAAGCTAGGTATTTTCAAGCCACAGCTCTGCTGCCAAGCCAGGAAAATGGACGGGGAAGTTTACTGTCAATAAACTGAGAAAGGTAACAATACTACATCCACAGGCCCACTTAGTAACCTTCTCCTAATGAGTCTCTTGGAACCCATCGTAGCACATCTAAATAGTATCAGCAAAGAAAACATGTTTGTTCCCTCTGTCCTCATTTAATAAAAAATAACGATCTAAAGACAACGCTCCCATAAACCAGACAAACTGAAGACGCCAGTCAAAGATGCAGGTGAAATGTCAGGGGAGAATGCTACTGAAACATGGCCACACAGTCCAAAAAACTCACAGCAACCCAAACTGAAGAGGCTTATTTAGAGGAAACTTGCATAAGGAATCTACAATGTCAGGAACTGTAATACTACAACACCAGGAAGATTTCACAACTTCCACCCTTTGACAAGAAAGATGCCATGTCTGTCCTAGTATAGGAGTTTCTATGCTATTAAAATGCACATCTCTTTTGCATGGAAAGCTGAGAATTGATGCACACAATATTGCTCTGGTTTAAAGTTACAAAAAAAAATCCATCACCCCCCACATACCTTATAGGCAGCACCTCCATGGATGATAGATTTGATGAAAATCCCAAGGTCAGCCCCAGTCTCTCGAGATTTGTTGCCCTTTAAGCTCACACCGAGTCCAGCTGAACCTGAGTCATTCAGAGGAATCTCAAAGGTCAATTGCTCGGTAGTCTCTAATGAAAGCATGTTGCAGAAGGGCTCTCCTTTCTGTTAGATGAAAAAAAAGCAGAACATTTGCATAAACAAACAGTAGTTAAATACATATTTCTCAGGCACACTACTTTGCTTGGAAATCATTACATGAATCTACTACGTAGAAAATGCACGTCCTATGTCTTAACCCTCTTTCAGGGTGACCGAACATTTTAGGCCTCCCAGAATCAAATTTTGTTACAGCTAGACCTAAAAGGTAAGACATTTACAAGACAGTTGCCTGTAGTGTATAATCAACATCTCTGTATTCCAATCATTCACCATCTATACTTATTGGGTTTCTTAAGAGATGAAAACAAGAGCCTTTTCAAAACACAGTATTGGCCACTCCTTTTCCTTTTCTTTTCTTGGCAACTCAAAGGAAACTAGGTTCTTGTGGGTTATATGGCAATGTTCTAGAGGCATTTTCTCCTGACGTTTCGCCTGCATCTATGGCAAGCATCATCAGAGGAGAAAATGCCTCTAGAACATGGCCATATAGCCTGAAAAAACCCACAAGAACCTAGTGATTCCAGCCATCAAAGCCTTCGACAATACATCAAAGGAAACTTTCCACCAAACACAAAATCATATTTAAATATCTTTTATAGCTGTCAATTCAGATGAATTTCAAAGCAGATTGGAGAAATTAATGAAGTATGAGCCATCAACAGACACTAATCAGTATTAGAGCCAGCAGTGTATCTTTGTATAACAGTTAAGAGTCTGAGATGGACAGAATATTGGACCTCAAGAGACTTTGGTCTCATCCATGATAGTACTTCAGGCTCATCACTGTTCCAAAACAGCAGCACCAACAGATTGTATGCCACAATTTCTTCAAAGATTCATGTTGTCCTTGAATCCCTGTTCATGCACACCTTCAGTTCACAAGAGTGTTTACTTATACACAAAGTGTGGTAGGGTTCCTCTCATTAAATGGCGTGACGGTCAGCTCTAGCAGTTGTTTTAGTGTGCAGCAACACGAAACCTTCTACCACTGTTTTTTCTATGTCCTTGGTCTTCTCTACAGTGAAATGAGTTGCAGATGTCTTCACCACGTTCTTCCATTTTTTACTCTCATAACAATATTTCCTCTTAGTATGGAGCATGTTATTCCTGCCCTTCCACCTTTTGAGCAGAAGAGGGATTATTTCTGCTCTAAACACTTACATCAACTTCTCTGTGTCATGTTTCAATCATTTTGAGCATTTTGTCCCAATACATTACACTCTATATGGCGAAAAACTATCCCGTTGGCAAAATGATAGAAACTCCCTTGAAATAATATTACCTTTCCTGTCATTGTTTGTAAAAACAAAATACATAACAGGTGGCGTAACTTTTTCAAACTTGTGAGAGAACACTATTTTCAAATGGCTGCTTTATAGGCTTTATAGACTTGATCTAAACTTGTTGTAGTAGAGCCTGTAAGTAACGTTGCAAGCAGTAGTATGGGTGCCAGAAGGGGAAAAAGGGTTACTTGTAAGCAGGAGTCTGATGAGGAACAACAGAGGAAAAGGATTCGGGATATATTTATAGCACCTACAGATGAGGACTCATTTGAGGGGTTCTCTGGGGATGATGGGTCAATGAGTGAAGGAGAGGAGGGAGACGCAATGGATGGGAATAGAGGAAGAAAGAGGGTTACTCGGGAGCAAGAATCGGATGAGGAGTGACAAAGGAAGAGGATCCGGGATATACTTACGGCACCTACAGATGAGGAATCATTTGAGGATTTCTCTGGGGATGATGGGTCACAGAGTGGGGAAAACGGGGATGACACTGTGGATTGGACTAAGGTAAAAGAAGTGCAAGCTATTTGCGCTAAGCCAACATCTAGTGATACATTTATGGGATTCTCTGGAAGTGAAGACTGGCAATCGGGGAATACAACTGAGTCTTGGGGGATCTAAGCCTTAACAGGAGATGGAGAAGATGGAGGGATGGGCATAGGACTTCACATGAAGAGTTGGGAGCAGCTGCAAGGGATGATCATGGGGCAGTGGTCAGTTCATCTACTGATGATGATGATGTGTAATAAAAGTGGGTTCTGAAATGGGGAATCTTTGCAGAAGACAAGATGTTGGTATACGTTGGTGCATTGGATACTGTTTGGACTTGTCGCTTCCTGTTCCATGATCGGCATTGGGTTTGGGATCTACAGGTTGCTGCTCCTGTTCGTGTGTGCTTTCGACTCGGCTTGGAATCTCATGAGTATGGATTTCCTCCTTCCTTGACCTTGGACCGGCTTGACTGCAACGCTGTTTCTGTGGACTTTGGAACTTCGCTACTTTGGATTCTGCTTGCTACGACCCTGGACTTCGCTTGACCATGCTTTCTTCCCTGCGTCTTCTCTTTTTTGTTAACCATTTGCATGCTGGGCCTTTTTGTGTGACTTTCGGAGTACTGTGTTTGATTAAGTTCTTTTTTCTGGATAATCCGGATTATACTTTGATTAACCCTTTTGAACCAGGACTGGTTTTACCTTTGAGTTTTGACCAGAGGCATTGAGTTAAGTGTCTCTGAGTCTTTTCCTTTGCTTTAATAAACTGTGTTTTGGAATTAACTCTGAGTCTGGCCCTTTAAGGAGTCTGTGATTCTGACAAAACTGCTCTATATCCCAGTATCTGATCTCAAATTATCTGCTTTGAACTAGATTATATGAGTCTATACTGCCAGATAATCTAGGATAAGCAAATAATCTGGGATTAGATCCTGGGATATAAGACAGTGTAGAACCAGCCATAGTTTCAGTTTTGACTGGATCCTGGAACAAAACATTATTGTAAGATGTTAAAACAGGGGTTCTCAAACTAAGGCCCGCGGACCGGATTCAGCCCTCTAAGGTCATTTACTCGGCCCCTGGTCTGAACTTTAGACTTAGGGTCACCCTAAGTCTGAAACAACTTCAAGTCACACAACAACAATAACATCATTGTGAATTAACTTGATTATCTGATTAGCCAAAAGCAGGCCCACTATTGCCATTGAAATACTGGTAAGTTTATGTTGGTTAAAATTGTTCATCGTTTTAAATAATGTATTGTTCTTTCATGTTTTTTGAAGTACAAATAATATATCTGCAGTGTGCATAGGAATTTGTCCATGTTTCTCAAAATATTGTCAGGCCCCCCAGCAGTCTGAGGGACACGGCCCTCTGTTTTAAAAGTTTGAGTCTGCCTGTGTTAAAAGGTCCTGTTGAGTAGATTTACATTTGAAGAAACTGGAATCTGCCATTGTCAACTAAATAATTCTGTGGCTATAAAGTCAGCAGAAAGAAAAATATGTTACAGGGAGAAGGAATGAAAATCAAAAGAAAACAGAACTTGTTCTAAAATGATAACAGAAAAGACTAGAATAAAATGCAATGAGAGCATGAATGTTTGCCAGTCAGGGCATAAAGAGGAATTTTTTACAGTGTTGGGAACTTTTCATCCAGTCCTACTGAGAAGTTGAGTCATAGGTTCTGCGGGTCTTATTTCTTCAGAATCAATGTTTGACTGCTGCTTCTTCACTTTCTTTTTTTGCTGTCAGTCAATTGGGGATTACATAATGAACAGAACACTAGAATAGCTTTAAAAAAACATTTGCTCTTATCCCCAGCACGGATACATTGGGCCCAACCCCATCTATTTCAGAAAGAAGAATCCAAATCAACAGACACTGAGCTGTAACTACAGGTTTCTGTCATTTGTAGAGTCATTTGTATTGAGAAATAACTGGCAAAACCCTAATGTAATACAGATAGTTTTAACTTGATGACACCAATGCCCTATCCTGATTTTGGAGACCCTTTTATCTTTTTTGTGTTATAATGTAGCCTCATCTCTTCCAGCTGTGGCCTTCCCATGTTTACTAGGAAGATGTGGAGGGAAACATTAGCTGGAACCCCCAGTGATGCAATGGGTTAAACTCTTGTGTTGGGCAAACTGAAGGCCCAAAGGTCAGCGGTTCGAATCCGGGGAGCAGGGTGAGCTCCCATCTGTCAACTCCAGCTTCCCATGTGAGGACACAAGAGAAGCCTCCCATGGGATGGTAAAACATCTGGGCAACATCCTTGCAGACAGCCAATCCTCTCACACCAAAAGTGACTTGCTGTTTCTCAAATCACTCCTGACAAGAAAAAAAGTCTGTATTTGGATACAGGCAGTTGCAGAAGTCTGCAAGATGAAGGCTTTTGACTGTGTGTATTTTCATAATTGTGAGTTTCAGATTTTCAGAGGAAACTTGTGAAGTCAGAAAATGGTCCATTTTTCCTCCCTTTCCATGCTTGAAAAGGCTTACAAACAATTTGGAGGTCAGCAGACTGAGATACACACTTTCAAAATGGAAAACTCTTTTACCACTTCATCACATTAGAGAAAAACTCCATTTAAAATCCGGTTTCTGCCTCCTGCAGAATGCTGGGATTTGTAGTTTAGTGAGGCTGTTAAAGGCCCCTCCCTAAACGACAAACCCCAGAATTCTGCAGGAAACCGAAACCTGATTTTAAGTGGATTTTTTTTCTAGTGATTTATTACAAAAAATGAAACTTGAAAAAAGGGGGTAGGCGGGGTTCTTGGTCACAGTCAAAAGAGCCAGCTTTGGAGCTTTTTAAAAATTTCAACAAAATCTGCAAAATATCTTGCAGAACCCAATCTGCGCTCATACAATTTCATCAGCTAGCAATAACTTCTACAAGAACAGCACTGATATGCAAGAAGATCTGACCTTCTTCCTAACACTAAATTAAAATCTATGATGATGCAATTAAAACATATTGTTTTAGTCCTTTGTAAAAATAAAATAAATAATGCACTTTTAATCTGAAAACAGGAGGAAAGACAAGAAGAAAGAAAATACAGGGTCTATGGAGCTATAAACCCCTATTCCATTAAGTATCAAGAACAAATATTTAATATATTTAATCACAGGACAAATTTAATGCATTCCATTTAATTGAAAAACATAAAAGTGGTTTGATGTTGACATTAATAATTATTGCCTGATCCAGCCGTCCACCTCTCCAGCTC